GATAGACTATTGCTCCAGCTCAGTATTTACTCTGAATGGTAGCAGGTCTCCAAGGTCTTTCTCAGTCTTGCTACTTTAAAATCTATGACTAGATACGACACAGATTGAACCTACTGTAGCCATGTTGGTCTGAAGCAACAGAACAAAGTTTGAGTCCAGGGGCACCTTTAAGACTAAAAGTTTAATTCTGGCTGTAAGCTTTCATGTGCTTGCATACTTCATCAGCTTACATCCAGAATTAAACTTTGTTGGCCTTAAAAGTGCCACTCGACTCAAACTTTGTTCTACGAATACTGTGTGTGATTGGGAAGACATGCATGTACCAGTACTGGTGTCTAGGGGTGTGCACACACAAAAAATGGTATTTTTCGGGTTCAGGTATACCAAACCCGAAAAATATTGGTATATAGTGATATTCCTGAATCCCAATATCGGTACCAATATCAGTATTGTATTGGGATTCGGGAAGTGATTGGTATTGTCAAAAATATTTCGCTGGGAGTCATGTTTCCATGCCTACTCATCCCTTTCCTAGTTGGCCCGCAGTGGTGGGTTGGCTGGGCGAGGGGAGACAGAAGGGAAGGGGAGCATTTAAAGATGCTTCCCCAATCTGTTATCCCTTCCCCAGCTGGCCTACCAAGGCAGGTTGGCTGGGGAAGGGAAGAAGGATTAGGGCTGCATGTTTCCATACCTCCCCATCCCTTTCCCAACCACCCCACCAAGGCGAATTAACTTTAATTAAATCAACTTTACTTAAATTAGGTGTCCCCCGAGAAATTTAAATGCCCTCGACAAAAAAAATCCTGGCTACGGGTCTGGGTGGGGCTTGGAGGAGGCGGACCATGGAAGTGATGGCTTCAGCCATCCCTCAGACAAAATCCCTCTCCTCTATTTAAAGCCCCGCCCTCATGCTCCTCCATGTTGTTGAGTCTTGGGTTAAAAGGAGGTGTCTTGTGGCTTCCCTTTAGGAATATGTAGTGCCATAAGCAGCTCTCCACTTCCCATCTTGAGTCATGTGGAGAAAATCTTTTTGTACTAATGTATAGCTGAAGTTCTTAAAAGGAATGCTAATGGAATAAGTGGCTTTGCGTCAAAAACATCTTGATTAATTGGATTAGTGGTCTAACCACGCAGGTCCTGGCATAGGTCTGAATCTCTTGGAGGTTCTTATTTCATTTTTCTGGTGCGCTATGATGGGATGAAAGTGGGTGTATATCCAATCTCATTTCCTACAGGGCTATTTTTGGGCAGGAACGCACAGGAACGGAGTTCCGGCTGGCTCCCGAGTTGGCCACGCCCAGCAGGAACTCGTTAGCATAATAGGCCACACCCAACAGCAGGAACTCATTAGGATTGGCTACATTAGGGGTGTGTGGCCTAACATGCAAAGGAGTTCCTGCTACAAAAAAGCCCTGGGTTTGGACAACATACAAGGTAAACAGAATAGGAAGCAAAAGGTGGGTGTGGCTGGATAACCACACTTCTGATAACATGTGAGTGCGGCCTAATGGGCTAATGAGCTGTGCTGTCAGGGGTGTGGCCCAATATGCTAATAGGTTCCTGCTGTTGGGTGTGACCTATTATGCTAATGAGTTCCTGCTGGGCTTCTTCTACAAAAAGAACCCTGACTTCCTATATGTCAGTTCTCTTTATACTGTAAACCAGGGGTGTCAAACATACGGCCTGTGGGATGGAGCAGCTTGTCCAGGGCTCTTATCTGGTCCACGAGCAACTGGTCATTATCTTTATTGCCAGATGACAGAGCCTATGCATTATGTTCCTATATACTGTCCCAGTGCCCATGAGTAATGGGCAGTGGAGGTGGGAGGGTGGGTATCAGGGAGATATTTAAAGGAAATACTGTAATAATGTTAACGTTTTAAGCATGTTTGTATTTTGATTGAAAAAATTAATATCATTAATTAGGTTGCCCAGTGTCCTGCATAAAGTTTATATCTCCCGTACCTGGCATTACATTTTATGGCACGCATCGCCCGGCCTGACGGAATGACATTTACTTCGACACCTCTGTGTGTAAATGAACCAAAACTACAATTCCTGGGCCCCGTGTTTCTGACTGAGATTAGCTGGTCACAGAGCTAAGATGGAAGGGCAACATATAAGAACATTGGGTGGCAATAGTACAGCCTTCTGCGTACAAAGCCATGTGTTATACTGTTGAGCCATGAGCCTGTGACCCATCCTCATAAAAGATGGGATTCTATCAGGTGTGGCTTGTCATGCAAGAGGAAGAAAACCTGTACTTGCTGAAATGCATTCCTCTACATAGCCAGGGCTATTTTTGGACAGGAACGCACAGGAACGGAGTTCCGGCTGGCTCCCAAGTTGGCCACGCCCAGCAGGAACTCATTAGCATAATAGGCCACGCCCAACTCGTTAGCATAATAGGCCACGCCCAACAGCAGAAACTCATTAGGATTGGCTACATTAGGGGTGTGTGGCCTAACATGCAAAGGAGTTCCTGCTACAAAAAAGCCCAGGGTTTTGACAACAAAGTAAACAGAATAAGAAGCAAAAGGTGGGTGTGGCTGGATGAGCACACTTCTGGTAACATGGGGGAGTGGCCTAATAGGCCAATGAGCTGTGCTGTCAGGGGTGTGGCCCAATATGCTAATGAGTTCCTGCTGTTGGGTGTGGCCTATTATGCTAATGAGTTCCTGCTGGGCTTTTTCTACAAAAAGAGCCCTGCCTTGGTAATTTCCTATCAAATGTTTGTATAGGGACAAAAGGGTGCCATGGGGGATTTGTAATAATGGAGAAGTTCCATCTCCTAAATACTGCATCATAAATCAAGTGTACATTTTGCAAGAGATTCGATTCCAGTGGCACCTTAGAGACCAACAAGAGCCTCAAGGTATAAGCTTGTTGGTCTCCAGGGTGCTACTGGATTCAAATCTATCTGTTCTACTGCAGAGCAACTCAGCTACCCTCTGAAACAGGACTGATATCCCTCATGTATAAACCAGAAAATTATGCAGCAAAAGTTAGCTGCAGCTAAAGTCCCCGTGAAAACAATTAGACGGAACTCGGTCATGACTAATTTAAGTGCCGCTTACTTCAGTGAGAGTAAGCCATGACAAACGTTGCTTGAACTGTGCCTTAGATGAGGCACGGCTTAAAGGAAATTGTTCTGCTGTTATGCCTGTTGTGTTTTTTCATGCAGTTTTGGTGACAAAATATGTCACATATTATTAAATGGGTATAGATTCAGGTGGGTAGCCGTGTTGGTCTGGAGCAGCAGAAAGAAGTTTGAGTCCAGTGGCACCTTTAAGATCAACAAAGTCTAATTCAAGGCAGAGGTCATTTCGGGGGGGAACGCGGGGGATCGCAGTTCCCCCGGGTGGGGTACGGGGGGCGGGGCAGATGACGAAGCCCCACCCCCTGCTTCCGGCCGCCCCGCTTCCGGCCCTCATTCAGCCAGGAGGAGGCAGGAGAAGAGGGAGGGTAAGTTGCTTCCTCCCTGCCTCTCCCCACCCCTGCCTGCCTGGGGCCAGGGAGGGCCTTCGCGGGGCTTCCTTGCACTCCCGCCGGCTTTGCAGGTCCACTGCTGGGCCCCTCATGGGACTCGGCAGTGGAGCTGCAAGGCCGGCGGTGGCGGCTGGGACCGTTGGGGGCGGGGTGTGTGGCCTTATGACACCTTTCCGGTGATGTCAGGGGGTGTGGCATATGCTAATGAGTTATGCTAATGAGTTCCCCTAGCTCTTTTTCTACGAAACGACCCCTGATTCAAGGTATAAGCTTTCATGTGCAAGCACTGTCCTTCAGAGAAGTGTGCTTGCACATGAGAGCCTATACCTTGAATTAGACTTTGTTGGTCTTAAAGGTGCCGCTGGACTCAAAACTTTGTTCTATTAAATGGGTGCTATCCACAGTACTTCAAAAATTTGTCTGGTCTCATGTTTCTTTCCTCTCCTCTTTAGCCTCTGGAAGACCAGGTTCGGGACCTGTTACGTGAAGCAGACAAAACTGTGGAAGAAAACAAAGATCAAGAAGAGGTGTACGATGCCATGGCGGAGACACTGGGAGATGCTTGGGACTCCCTTGTTATTGTTCTAGAGAAACGCAGGGAACTTTTGAAACTTACTGCAGATTTTTTTGAAAAAGCTCTGGAGGTTTGTATACAGAAATCCTCAAGCAAATTTATTATATAAAAATTCTGTTCGTTGTATTAGAATAGGTAGGGAGTAAAATAGTCCCTAAGTGGATTTCTGTTTGTGCTCCGCCTAGTAGGGAAATGATCAAAACAAACATTTAGACTGAAGGTACCTGAGGGAAGTATGGCTGGAATAGTTTTCAGGTATCTCACCAAATAAGAAATAATTAAAATTAAAAATATTTTATTAATTAATTAGTACTTCTTGGACTTAGTTCATAAGTAATAAAAAGAAATGCTTCATAGGGATGAGGAATCCCCCCTGAGCAGTTTTATCACTCTTAGCAGAACTTTTTTTTACTTCCCTCAGCAAAGAGCCCCCCAAACTTACCTTACTTTCTGGCTGATTTCGCACTAGAGCTGCCTCGCTGATGCACCGCCGTTTGCCCTGGTTCTATTGGTCAATTTCACGCCCGAAGCCGCGCGGCTGATTTTGAGCCGCGGCTTCACCTTTGACCCGCGGCTTCACCTGATTAACACATGGAATTCACTGCCACAGGAGGTGGTGGCGGCTGCAGGCATGGATGGCTTCAAGGGGGAATTGGATGAACATATGGAGCAGAGGTCCATCAGTGGCTATTAGCCACAAGGTATAGATAGGAAGCTTCGGTCTGGGGCAAGTGATGCTCTGTATTCTCAGTGCTGGGGAGGGGCAAGAGTGGGAGAGCTTCTAGCGTCCTGGCCCCACTGGTGGACCTCCTGATGGCACCTGGTATTTTTGGCCACTGTGTGACAGAGTGTTGGACTGGATGAGTCGTTGGCCTGATCCAACACTGGCTTCTTAATGGGGGCCAACTCCTGCCAGTTTCTCCTTGAGCGGCAGTAATCCACTGTGCGTCATATTTTGTCCCCCCCACAGAGCCCCCTGACCATATGAAGCAGCTTTTCACAGGGCAGAAGGAGCTGCTGAGGGATAGGAGGACAGAGATAGTTCAATTTCCATTGTCTTTTCTTTGTTTAAGAAGATTTGGGTCATGAGATCCCAGTGTCTGAGATCCCTTCTCCTTCCCAAATCCTACCCTCACCAGGCTCCATCTCGAAATCTCCAGGAATTTCCAACCTGGAGCTGGAAACCCTATTAGGGTGTTCTTTTGAGCAAGAGAACTACCAAAATAAAATAAAAATTCACGAAGCATTGCTTTTGCTGTCAGAATGATGTGAGTGGCAAGAGCGGGACCCAGGATCAGGCCTTATTATATCCTGAAGAATTTGAGCAAGGGACGAATGGAAAATGTCATATTGACTTAAAATGGAAATACTGGAAACTTCTCTGTGAAATGTTTTGCTTTAAATGACAGAATGTGATTATGTATAATCTTTGTTTTATTATGATAAAGTGCAAGCCTCATCTCAAGGATATTCTTTAATGAAAATCAGAACTCAAATCCCAAATGCTGTAGCATAATGGATTTGTTTTATATCATAAAGATCATAAAAACAGGGCAGAACATGAGGAGAGGCAGGCAGAGCAGAAGGCTTATTTTTCATCATCTTTCTTAATTTCATCCGAGGTTGCAACGTTCTGAACTTCACTGGTTTGTTTTATTTAGTTTTACAATTTTATTTAGTTTTACAATTTTACTTAGTAGACAAAGGGCAAACATATCAGACATCTGCTGTATTTAAAAGGGAGAGGAAGACTGCCTTGAACCAAGAGGAAAGGCAGGATATTGAAGCAAGAGGGGAAAAAGGTAAAGGTAAAGGTTTCCCTTGCTTGAAAGCCAGTCGAATCCGACGCTAGGGGGCGGTGCTCATCTCCATTTCCAAGCCGAAGAGCCAGCGCTGTCCAAAGACATTTCTGTGGTCATGTGGCTGGCATGACTAAACACCGAGGTGCACCTTCCCACTGAAGTGGTACCTATTTAGCTACTTGCAATTTCTTGCTTTCGAACTGCTAGGTTGGCAGGAGCTGGGACCAGAGACGGGAGCTCACTCCGTCATGCAGCACTCGGGTCTCGAACTGCCGAACTACAGACCTTCTGGTCTGCAGCTCAGCATCTTAACCCCTGAGCCACCACGGCCCCATCCAAGAGGAAAGGCAGGATATCAATATAAATTGACATGACCAAAAAATGATTAGCATAAAGCCATTTAAATATCAGCCAATTCCCTCCAGTCCTCCCCCCCACCAGGGTACTACACTGGACTGTGAGGTACTGTGGAAGAATCTCAGCATGACGAAAAAACAAGCTCGAAGAAAGTGACTTGCCCAAGGTCATCCAGTGTGGGATCCATGAATAGATTGTGTCAGGGGTCGATTCGGGGGAATCGCGGGGATCGCTGTTCCCCCGGGTGAGGTGCAGGGGGCGGGGTACACGACAAAGCCCCACCCCCTGCTTCCGGTCAGGGTAAAATGGCGATTTGACGCACCCTGTAAGTGCTCAGGGTGGACGGGTGTTCCTTACAGCAGTTTGGACTGTATTTGGGTCCAACGCGGCTTCCCCCAGGCAGGGGGAATGGCTGGCAGGCATCAAGACCCAAGAGAGAGTTAAGATTGGTGTGATCAAGTCTCAGAGGAGGCTTGTATT